CCCACTAGAAATGCAGTCTTCGGCACTCTAACCCCTACGGAAAAGAAGAGAACAGAAAAGCTCCCCAGGAAATTGGAAGAGAGGACAAGGGCAAGCCACCACAACCAGCACAGTAGCCATGTGCGCAAGGGCAGCACACGCTTACAAGAGGGACAAGGAGCCGCTGCAGTGATGGGCATGGCCGGAGGGGTCAGGAGTCATGAGCTGGCAAAGCAGCAGGTCTGCCGTGAGCCATATGTTCTTGTGTAGAGAAGGGCATTTCACTTATCTAATTTATACTTAGCCTCATTCCACAAAGGACTGGAGGAGAGAGGAGAGGTGCTGGGAGAGAGGGGCAGGGGGCGCTCTAGGCAGCGTAACCTACATGAAGCGGTGAAATACAAAGACGTGGGGTGCTGCCAGGTTGCAGCATTTGGGAGGTAGGTGTGGACAACGCAGAGGGCTGTGACTAGTACACAGGGGTTCAGGTTTGCCTGAGACAACCCCTCAGGAGTCCTGACACTTCTGACCAGAGCGAAATGAGAGGGTAACTATCAAAACAAAATCTTGTATAAGCTTTTTTAAAAATAAGGGATCTACCTGAGTGTCTGACTTAGTGATGAGACAAACATGAAGCTCTTGTGGTAAACCAAAGAATCTGAATTTTATATACCTTCCAAGTTGTGGATACTAATTCCTCCCGTGCTAAGAAATATACACTTTTTAAGTCCACTGCCTATAACATCTCAGTTTATACATTCAGATTTTTCCAAAGGGGCTACTTAAAGACAACCCTGCAGAGACACTTCCTAGCTTTTTCCTTGTGCATATTTTTGGCTTCCAATATTCTCTAATACTTGCTTCTGAAAGCTCCTTTGTTTTCCACCTCCTTCTCACACCTGCACCAACAACAACCGCCCTTCTCAATCTGTCCACGATTCCTTCCTACCAGCAACAGCTAATTAGGAATACTTGGGGTTTCAAGGCTTCAGACAAGATTGCACTTGCCATGACTAAGTTAGAAATACAGGGCTTAAATATATCTAAACTGTATTTTACAAGAATATAGGATGTTACAGAATTTTAAGCAACTTTTACATAACTAATCTTCATATTCACTAACGAAGGCTATATAAAAGATATAAAAATAAATTATAGGCTCAAATGCCCAATCTTCGTGGGAGCATTCTTCAAATGAGCAGGAACAGACATTTAACACGTCTTAGGGATGACTTAAACCTTATTTTTACACATCTGTATTATATTTTATATATTTTACACTTCTATATAATATGCCCCAATAACTGATCCTCAACTAGTTTCCTCAGATTGTGGTGGTGGACAAGTCATATCTGTGTCTGCCCACAATCTTCTGGGCACTGTTTTCCCATCCGATAGTTTCCCCATGTGGAGCCTGCCTTACCCACACGGAATTCAGTAAAAATGCACTTCCCAGCCTCTGGGAGGGTGCAGACTTCTGACTTGAGTGTCCATCCACACAACACAAGGACGCAGAAACGGGTCAGAGGAGGGGAAAAGAAAGCCACGGGGCTTCATTTTGCCAGTGTGGTCGGTAGAAGTCTCAGGGTTTGGCAGTGGTGGCAGTTCCCGCGTGCAGAGGTGTGGTTGACCCTGACTTCAGGCAGCAGCTCCCTTCTCCGGCCAGCGCTGCTGTGTAGTTCTGGAATGTGGTCTTGGAGGCTCAGCCTGTTCCGCTACCCCTTCAAAGTCTGCATTTAGCACCTCCCTTTCTACTTCAATCAGCTCAGCAGTTCTTGGAAGGATGTGGTCCAAGGACCCTGGGGGTCCCCGAGGGACTTTCAGGGGGTCTACGAGATCCTCCCTTTTCTAACCACATAGCTGTGAAGCCAGCTTTTCTTCTCTATACCTCAATCAAAATATCACAACAGACTGAATGCAGAAGATGATATGAGAATACAGCTGCCTTCCATTAAGTTAGACATTAAAGAGAATTGCAAAAAGATAATACAATGTCACTCTACTTAATTATTTTTGGAAAAGTTATATTAGTGTATTTTTTTCAAAAAAATTTTATTTTATGTTAAAATATAATGAGTTTATTATTGGGTTGTTTTTAAATGAATTAAGTATTTTAAACATTGCTCAGTTTTCATTCGTAATATAGTAAGTATCGATAGATATAACACACACAAACAAAAGTTCTTTGGGGTCCTAAACAATTTAGGAACTCCCAAAAGATGCTGAGCATAAAAGGGCCCTATGACCGAAAAGTTTAACAGCCACTGAAATAGAGTAGATTCTGTCATCTTTATCTAAAAACTTTGAATAAAAGAGAAGGCTACATTCTTCTTTAATTTTCCACCCAGATTTGGGTGATTATAAGAGGGAAGTTGGTTTAAGAGAATTGCCCACTCTAAGGAGAAGGAAAAGGAGGAGAGGGAGATGCAAAAGCAGCATACATTAGACCCAAGGCCAAGAGTCCATGGAGAGTGAGAAGGAGGTACCTATCTGTACAGTGAAAGATCTAAGGGGAAGACTGAGAACAAAGCGCCCAAGAACCAACACTGAACACTTACCAACCATGAACATCTCTTAATATTCAGACGTGTCCTCATATTCACGGACCATTTAACAATCTTTATAATTCACTCATAGCAGCCGGGCCTGGCTTAGGGAAGTCAGAGTCAGCTTGAGTTCCAGTGGTTGTGCAGACACATGCACCAAAAATGTGCATCTTGGGCCAGGAATGGCTTGAGGAATCTTAATTGTATCACTCTGCTCGCTCCACGTCTTCTTAGCCAATGTCTAGGGAGGCTGATCTACGGCTAGCTCAGAACACGTTTGAACACAGAATGAATATTTAACATGATTAATAAATATCTCACAGAATCAGTTTAGACTTAAAAAGGTGAAAACTCTGGGCGGGCCCCGTGGCTTAGCGGTTAAGTGTGCGTGCTCCGCTGCTGGCGGCCCAGGTTCGGATCCCGGGCGGGCACCGACGCACTGCTTCTCCCGCCACGATGAGGCCGTGTCCCACATACAGCAACTAGAAGGCTGTGCAACTATGACATACAACTATCTACCGGGGCTTTGGGGGGGGGCGGGTAGGAAAGGTGAAAACTCAGGTCTCTGAAGAGTCCTCTAGTATCAAAAACCCAGAAAGAGACAGCCTCATCAAACCCAGGACGGCCCCTTTGGTTGGCTGGGGTGAGGACAGTCCCTTGCAGCACATTTCGTCTTTAGCCAGCTGTCCTTTGGAACTCTTCTCATGTGCAAATCAAACCCACCAGACTTTACGCCAGGATGGCAAGGGCTCGCTTTCACCCATCATCAAATGCAGAGCCCAGCAGAACATCTGTCAGTGGTAGACAAACAATCACCGATTAAATGAAAGAATCAACTGAATGCATGAATGAACTCATCAGGAACTCGTCATTTTAATTTCCTTCCTAACTGATCAATCAGTATTGGTTAACTAAGAGCCCGCTACCATTCATACCCTACACTTACAAAAATTACTGTCCTGTTCTGAAATTACCATTAAAATTTCTGATACATCATTAACAATTACTATTACAAAGTCTGCTCATTATAAACTATTCTATTCATCAAATGAACATTTGTTATTCACTAGCAGAACATGGCTTTAGGTTCGTTCTTACAAGTCTAATAATAGGTAATGTTATTATTATTATTTTTATAATTTTATTTATTTTTTCCCCCCCAGAGCCCCAGTAGATAGTTGTATGTCATAGCTACACATCCTTCTAGTTGCTGTATGTGGGACACGGCCTCAGCATGGCCGGAGAAGCGGTGCGTCAGTGCACGCCGGGGATCCGAACCTGGGCTGCCAGCAGTGGAGCGCGCGCACTTAACCACTAAGCCATGGGGCCGGCCCGGTAATATTATATTTTGACTCATGGTACGTCACAGCAACTGACATCAAAGGAAGGAAAAAATGCTGAACATAATTCAATTCCACCAAAACACCTAATACGAACAAGGTTCACAGTACGAGCCTGTACATAAAAACTCAACCTATAATTTCCCAGAAATCCCCAAGCAATGTAAAATTAAATTGTTTAAACTATGATTATACTAGAAAAAGTCACAAGCTTTGTGTGACATTTTCTGAAGACTTGTCTATAAGTTGTTTTTTAAAATGATCCATGTTAGTTTGAGTTCTCTGAGAAAGAGCCGCTAAGATGGGATTAAATATAAAAGAAGTTTATTGGGGAGACATTTGTGAATCATAGAGAGGAGGAGTAGGCAGAGCCTGGCATGTGTGAAGGGGAGAGGGAAGGAAAGCAGCATTGGGCAGGAAGAGTCTTGGACAGTAGCACAGTCCTAAGAAAATTCTGGGCAAGCTAATGGGGAGTCCTTGAGCCAACGTCATCCGTCAGGGGAGTGGGCCATCATACTCATTCATCAGCTAGAAACAGCCTGGGGAAGCATGGCCTCAGGAGGAACATGGTGGTGGATCCCATGGGGAAGCAGTGGGGTCTCAGTCAACTCTACTTCCCGCGGGGAGAGGTAAGTGATGCATTTCCATTGCCGCCACACTGTCTTTTGTAAGTCTTCAGGTTTCCGATAGACGTAAGACTATATGTTTTCATGCCACCAAATTTTACCTATATTTTTGATAGCTGTCATGAATCACGTTACGATTAACAGAGGTTAAGGATTCTACTATCTTAATACAACACTTTGTTTGTTACGTATTTTACATTAGCTTCTGAAGTATATAAGTTGTCTTTATCACATATGATGATTAGTGTGGAACATAAACAAAACCATACAATACAAAATAACTTAACACAATATTTCTGGACTATTAGTAAAAATCTTCACTAATTTGGGCTAATCGGAGGTTGACTAAATTACAGAGTATTTTTAAAGGAATATGGTTATTACTTAGCAGCACACAGTAATTGCAATTAAAAGAACAAATGTTGACTAAGAGAAACAACTGGGAGCAAGACTGAATGACTAGTCCCAATTACCACACTACTTTGTTTCTGGGGAGAATATGCTTTTTTAAAAGCTTATTCTCTTAAATAAGTCTCCCCACAATCTTCTCAAATAATATTGCACTTATAATTCATGTCATACAATATCCCCCACTGCATTCTGTCTTCTGCGGGCTTTGCAAACCCTCTCTTTCTAAGTAATTCAAGTGTCCCCTGGGGGCTGAAGGCCCAGATCCTGTGACCGAGTGAGGCCACAGGACAGCGAAGGATGCCTTAGGGAGTCCAGCAGTTCCCATCCTTCCTCATTCCAGATCCATCAACTGGACCTGACTGTCCCCGACCCAGGTGTCCAAAGGCCACAGGGCAGGAGCTTCCGAGTCATCAAAACTGACTGAGCTGGTCCATTCCATCCCTGCTTTTCTCCTATTTGCCCTCTGTACCTGAATTTCATGTCACAAACTAATGTATATTTCAGCTCAGTTCACTCATGTAAATAACCACTAACTTCCCAACTAATGACTTTTAATGTTATATTCATATAAAACAATTTCAATTCTAGTATTTCAAATTTCAGTTTGTTAATCTTTTCCCCCAGGAATCCTAGAGACTTGGAAAAATACATTTATGGTTTAAGGATAGCCAACCTTACTGTGGTATGTGCTATGCACTGCTCCAAATGGTTTACTTGTATTTACTCATTTAATCTTCTCAACTGCCCTATGAGGTGGAATTAGTACTATCTCCAATTTACACATAAAGATACCAAAGCACAGAGAAGTTAAATAACTTATCCAAGGTCACATAGCTAGTAAGTAGTACAGCCAGGATTTGGACCCAAGTCATCTGGCTCTGAGTTAAAGATTTTCTGTTGTTACTGTGGCCTCCTCAAACTATAATGCACGACTTAACTCACATTTAAAAAGCCACTATTACCTAGCACATGGCAATGCAATCATTAAAAAAAGTTATTTTATTTACATTTGCATTTTATAAGCAACTGATTAAACTGAAAAATGATGAAAGAAAAGTTTGCTTTTCTCATCACTTATATACCTTGATACATTTAAATTAAAATTAAAGTGCTAATGTAGAAATATTTTCCCTTTCCTAATTTATAGCAGCAAATTTTCTTCCAAAGCCATCATACATATTTTTTAACACATTATAGAAATTAGATGACTTAAAGGATATACAGAAAGAAAATAATCAGTTAATTCAGATGTGCATATTCAGAAAAAGACACTGAAGTTAAAGAATAAATGGCTTAAAAATCAATACAGCGTCCTTTTCGTTCCCAGTCTCCATAGCGGGTAGGTTCCGGGCCCCTGGGTCCACCTTTTTCTTTGGTAACAGGGTTAACGTCATCTGGAAATTCTAAAGAGAGAAGATGTGAACCAAGCAGTCAACAGAGACAGGAAGAGCATTAGGGTCGATTCTTAAGACAAGGTGGCAGAGCTGCAGTTGGCAGGCTAGATCCCACAGACTGGGTTACCACGTAGTCCTCAAATGAACCGTGGATGTGGTTCTTCTTTCTGAGTTTGATAAATCACTTTAGGACACAATTTTCATGTTCAATCCACTTTACTGCCTACATTAGGTGACTTACAATTCTCAGAGCACTCTCAGGCTCCGATCTGGGCAGCGGCTGCATATGAGCTGCTGGATTAAAACAGAAGGGAAGGGGTGCAGAAAATACAGGATTCACATCCATAGGGTAGAAGGTTTTGAAAGATGTTGACTTTCACTCAATGCCTCAGCTTTCTTCTCAGTAAAATGGGGACACACCTGCCTTATTGTCCTGAGAACTAAACGAGGAGACGCATGTCAAGGGGCTAGCACAGTGTGCCAGGGACATAAGGATGCTCGCTTAATTTCAACTGTATTACTGCTCCTTATCATGGGGTTTAGGCTTCAGCAATTGGTTAGTTGGTACTGCCTTTTACGGACATGACAGCAGATATTATTGCTAACCCTGTGTGTTCACAATAGGAATAACCATAATGAGTCAGGCCCAATTCTGAGCACTTTATACATATTAACTCAATTAATCCTCATAATAATCCTATAGGACAGGATAAAGGGCTTTATCTATTTCCACTGTGAATAAACTCGCCCCTACCCTGCTCCTCATTCTGTTTTCTTTTTTTTTTTTTTTTTTTTTTTTAAAGATTTTATTTATTCCCCCCAAAGCCCCAGTAGATAGTTGTATGTCATAGCTGAACATCCCTCTAGTTGCTGTATGTGGGACTCGGCCTCAGGATGGACGGAGAAGTGGTGCCTCGATGCACACCCGGGATCCGAACCCGGGCCACCAGCATTGCGGCGCGCACACTTAACCACCAAGCCACAGGGCCGGCCCCCTCATTCTGTTTTCTAAAGAACTCCTTGCTTGGACTTTCTCTGAGAGCCTATCTAATGGAAGCTCTTCTTTCTCCCACATCTCTGGGGCTCACTGGGTGTTTTAGTCAGCTCAGGCTGCCATACAAAATGCCACAGACTGGGTGGCTTAAACAACAGAAATTTATTTTCTCACAGTTCTGGAGGCTGGAAGTCTGAGATCAAGGTGCCACCGTGGTGGGGTTCAGGTGAGAGCTCTCTTCCTGGCTTGCAGATGGCCCCTTCTCGCTGTGTGCTCCCATGGCAGAGAGAGAAACAGCAAGCTCTCTGGTGTCTCTTTGATAAGGGCACTAATTCCACCATGGGAGCCCCACCCTCACGACCTCATTTAAACCCAGTTATCTCCCAAAGGCCCCATTCTCCACATACCATCACACTGAGGCTAAGGCTTCAACATTAGAATTTTAGGGGGCACAATTCAGTCCACAACACTGGGAAGAAGGAAAGGGTCAAGATGTCCCTGTCCTGCGGTACTTCCGGGCTCTCATTCTCCCATCAAACCTCCACAGCCTGTCCTCTTTTGAATTCCACACCACCCACTTGCCCAATGCCTTCCTCCAGTCTTGCAATAAACTCAGTCTTCTACCTTCTTGGATGGGATCAATACTTGGTTCACAGTTGCATCTCTCTCTCCCCATCATCCTTAATATAAGTATCCACACTGATGAACCATCACATATTGGGGCTCAAGGGTCCCCAATCCTCTTTCCTAGTGACCTTCACCTTCACTTCTGCCAGCCACTTGGATTTTATTATCTTCTGAATATGTTCCTTTTCCAAATCCCACACTCGAGTTCTCTTCTTTCTGAACACATCCTCCTACCTTTCCATCTCCCTTCTTCCTCATGTTGAACCTAATTTTCACCCTCATTATGACCTACAGTTTGCTGAACCTTTCCATGCTCCCCAGCACCACCCTGGCTCACGCTGAGTCCCATTCCAGCCCCAATGCAATAGTTTTCTAACTCATCTGTTTTCCGACTCACACAGCTCCAGTGTAATCTGCATGGAAGACTGAGTTAATTTTTCCACAGCAGGATCCCTCCTCCACATTACACTAGGTGAAAGAAGCCAGACACAAAAGACTATGTACTGCATGATTTTTTATATAAAGTCCTCGAAAAGGCAAAACTCAAGTGATAGAGAACAGATCAACAGTGGCCGGGTGGATGGGGGAATGAGACTAACTGCAAAAAGGCATGAAGAACCCTGGGGATGGAACTGTTTTATACTTTGTGTGGTCACATGACTGTAAACCTTTAAAATTCACCAAACTGTTTAGTTAAAATGAGTGAATTTTATTATGTGCAGATTATACTTTAGTAGAGCTGATTAAAACAATCTTTATCCAACAGCATTCAGTGGTCTCCTCACTGTCCACTGCATGAAGCTCATATGCCACAACCTGGCACTTCAGGCCCTCCCAGATTTGAGCCAAATCTCCCTTCGGGGCCTTACACTCCATTGATCCCTTATGGACACTTCATGCCGCAGCCAGAGGCCCATTAGCTGTGTCTTGCGTGTGTCATGTTCCCCACCCTTTCCATGCCTTTGACCATACCTTTCTTCTTTGAAACATCCCCTCACCTCTCCTTATCTATTTATTCATGATTTTATTGTTCCTTTAAAGCCCAGCTCAAATGTTAACCGTTCTATCTTTCTCTGATCTTTTTGTGTCTCTCTCTCATGCCAGTTACCACACGATGTCCTGTTCATAGTCATTTATGTATCTCATTTTCCCTTCTTATTCATCTTTGCATCAAGCACCATGCGTGGGTGCAAACAATCTTCCTTTATTACCTTAATAACAAAATCTACTCTCTGCAAAGGGACAACCTACACATTTTTCTTAGAATGGAGTATATATCAGAGGCAGGGAGACAGAACTAGAAGGAAGGAAACAGGAAGCACGCAGACTTGTTAGGAGACCAACAGAACTAGAGAGCATGAATTTGGGCTTTATTAGTAGGATGGATAAGAGGAGAGGAATCGGAGAGATGTTAAGAAGGTAGCATCAACAAGACTCGGTTAGTGACTGAATACAGGAGACAGGAAGAGGCAGCCCAGATTTCAGGCCTGGGTTACTGGGCAAAGGGGGTAGACTGGAAATCCAGAAGGAAGAGGACTGGGGTGGGCCTGGTAGGAGGGAAGAATGAGCAGAGGATGTGTTTAGCTTTAAACGTATTAATTTTGAGATATATTTGAAATATGTAAACGGAGATGTACAGGAGGCAGTTGGAGACAGGAGAGGCTCTGGAGAGAGGTCTGACGAGAGGTGCAAATGTGTGAATCACCAACACACACCTGGTATTTAGACCATCTTAGGAAGACACGAGATCTCCTGGGGGTGCTGCGGGGACTAAGGACATGGGTCTGGCAAATACCTACATTTAGGAGTTGGGCAGAGGCAGAAGAGCTTAAAAAAGAGCGCAAGAAGAAGTGGTTGAAGAAACAGGAGAAAACGTAACCGGAACCAAGACAGGAGATTTCTAGAAGCAGTGGTCAGCACTCCCAAAGGCTGTGGACAGCTCAAGTAAAACGAGGGGACAGGAGATTTCCAGTGGCCTCTCATTGTGTTTGGATTTGCCTTTCCTTAATGACTAGTGATGTTGAGCATCTTTTCATATGCTTGTTAGTCATTTCTATATCTTCTTTGGAGAAATATCTATTCACGACTTTTGCCCACTTTTGAATCGGATTGAGTTTTTTTTGTTGTTGTTGTTGAGTCGTAGGAGTTCTTTATATATTCTGAACATTAATCCTTTGTCAGGTATATGATTTATAAATACTTTCTCCCATTCTGTAGGTTTTCTGTTCACTTTCTTGATAATGTCCTTTGATGCACAAAAGTTCTTAATTTTGATGATGTCCAATTTATCTAGTTTTGCATTTGCTGCCTGTGCTTTTGGGCTTATAGCCATGAAACTGTTATTAAATCCAATGTTATAAAGGTTTTCCCCAATGTTTTTTCTAAGAGTTTTACAGTTTTATCTCTTCAGTTTAGGCTTTGATAAAGTTTCAGTTAATTTTGTGAATGGTATAAGGTAAGGTCCAACTTCATTCTTCTGCGTATGGATATCCGGCTTTCCTGGTGCCACTTACTGAAAAGGCTGTCCCTTTCCCATGGAATGGGCTTGGCACCCTTGTTGAAAATCAACTGATCACATATGTGAGGGTTTATTTCTGACTGCTACTTTCTTTTTGTGTCATGTTTTAAGGAAATATTTCCTCTCAGATTTTTGACCTTAGCTAAAACCAGTGAAGAAAAATTTACCTTTAGATTATGACAACATTTTAAAAGTCTTCTTCATCTTGGCTGATTGATGTGGCTATTAGATTTGGCTTGGTAAAGTGCTATAAATTGAAATATCTAACTGAATGAGTAAACAACAAAGCCTTTACATTCTACAAAGAGCTCCAGACAGAGGTCCCATGTCCTTCCTGACATCTTCCTGCCTGTGGTGCTGCACAGACAGGCTGATTCACACAACTGGAAGATGAGACAAGCAGGCCGCCTTGCCAAGGTCTCAGAGTGGTATATTTACATTTATGCTGTCTAATATGGTATTTTTTGCTTCTTTTTTTTTGTTTTTGTGAGGAAGATCAGCCCTGAGCTAACATCCATGCCAATCCCTCTCTTTTTTTTGCTGAGGAAGACTAGCCCTGAGCTCACATCCGTGCCTATCTTCCTCCACTTTATGTGGGACGCTGCCACAGCATGGCCTGACAAGCAGTGCGTCAATGTGCGCCCGGGATCCAAACCCAGGCAGCCAGCAGTGGAGCGTGCGCACTTAACCGCTTCACCACGAGGCCTGCCCCTAACATGTTATTTTTTGAATAGGTAATACTTGCATGTGTTCCACAACTGAAAGGTACAAAAGAGTATAGAATGAAAATGAAGTAGTATTTTAAAAAACAGAGCTTTAAATCATGAGCCAAATTTTATATATACTGAATATGAAATAATGTTCAGTTTATCACCCACCTCCCTCAAAAAACCTCTTTATCTTCAAACTTCCCCTTCTCATTCCCCAAGCATGTGTCACTGTGAGAACCACCACCTTCACGTGTGACCCACCCCACTGGCCACTCTGAATGACTCAGCTGTGGATACCTGATCCGAGCTTGGCCTACGAGCTCTCCTCTTAGGGAATTTGGAATTAGGACTAAGAAATTCTAGTCTCAGTCTGGTTGCCTGCATGAAATGAGCGGCTGCTAGGAGCAGCTACTTTCTGCCCAGTGGACTGAGAAGGGAGTAAGACAGAAAACAATGAAGAGCAGTGACCAGAGAATAGGTCAGGAGGAAGAACATCCTGGTTTCCATACAATGTTTGGTCCCAAGGTCCCAGCAGCATCACTGCCCTGGGGTGCCTCCCCGGCACCCTACATCCTAGTAACAACCCACCATACCTTCTGCTTAAGTTTGTTCAAGTGGGTTTCTGTCATCTGCATCAAAGTAGGTCTCAATTCACATATTTAGTTATGTGAATAAAGGGGTATTCAAATAAAACAGTCAAACACAACCAATCACTGTCAGGGGCTTGGAAATCTTTTTTTTTTAACTCACACATATTGATGGTCAATATGGTAATTTTATTCATTGTTGAAATATGCTTTATTACTGTTAATAAAGAATTACAAGGAATAACATGTTTTTTTTCCCCTCAATAACTAAAACACTTCCTTTGCTACTTCAAAAATTAAGAGAGGAGCTTTACTATACTCACTTGTCAGTGGTTCTTTCTCTAAATGGGAATCTTCCGGTGCATCAAAACGGCCTTCTGGTAACTTTGGCTTCTTCAGGGACTGTTTGACGGGTTCAGACTTTCCTCCTTGAGAAGAATTCGTTTTCCTCAAAGAATGACACAGAGGGGGTGATCCTAGCAGAGTGGGGATAGTGGAAAAATAGGAGGTGTTCATTTATTCTACTTAAAAATTTTAATAATTATACTTAATTTGTTTTTAGTATATACATTCACATTTATCAAAGTTCAAAAAGTACAAAAAGACGTACAGAGAAAATTCTTCCCTCTGCCCCTATCCTTATGTACATGGTAAGGGAGAATTTAGGAGAAGATGGAATTAAGGTTGCCCACCAGATGACCTTAAACTATAGAGATTTTCTTGGATTACCTGGGTGGGTCCAATGTAATCACAAGGATCCTTGAAGGGGGAAAAGAGAACTGGAAGAGAGAGCCAGAGAGACGGCAGCGTGAGATGGACCTGACCCACACTGCTGGCAGAAGATGGAAGGAAGAGGCAAGGAGTCAGGAAATGTGGGCAGCCTCTCGAAGTTGGAAAAAGGAGGAAACGGATTCTCCCCAAGAACTTCCAGAAGGAGCACAGCCCTGATACCTTGATTTCAGCCCAGTGAGACCCATTTCAGACTTCTGACCTCCAGACTGGAAGATGTTTTCAGCCACTAAGTTTATGGTAAATTGTTACAGCAGTAACAGGAAATGAATACAAACACTTACTAGTTGTCTGACCAAGGTCAAGTTACTGACCCCTTCTACATCTGCTTCCTCTGCTCTAAACTGAAGATAACAGTAGCTATCTCTTGAGGTCACTAAATAGACTAAACAGAACAATTCATGCAAAGCACCCAGCATTACCAATTATTATTATTACAGAATTATCTGGAAGCTCTTGATAGCATTACATATAAGTAGAACATTCTTTCATTACATGTATTTTATTCACATTCTAGCCATCACTACATTACCTGACTCTCTGCTTTAAAAAATTATACAAACACACACATATTTTTTTGTACAAATGTTTGTCCGTATATATGTGTCTCTGTGTACACATACACACCCTCCAGAGCCAACCTGGAATTTACATAAGGCTTGCATGTAAGATTAAAGTTAACACTGCAGCCAAGTTGCATTAACAATATCAAAACAATACACCAGGCTGCTCATTTGCACTGCTACTGCGTATATCGGAGTGACCAGCTAATCTGCTGACTGACTGAATGACAGAGCGGAATGCAAATTAGCATTCTCCCATAGATCCAAGAGCCCACAAAATACAAGGATTAAAAAAAATAGATAAATACATAACCAAATGTTTTAATAAAGCTAGGATAATAATCTACAAAATATAGTTTCCTTCCATCTACATGTTCACTTATATAAAATACTTCATATTTATGATATTAATTGGCTGAGAAAAATTCTGTGGACCAACAAAATTTCCTGTACATATTAAAATAAAAATACTTATCTATTGAAAATTTTCACTTATTTATTGATTTAGAGTACAGTCTGTTTTGCTCAAACTCCTACTTCAATATCTAAAGCATACTTTATTTTTCTTATGTCTTCATAATAATACTTAAACATATACTAAAAGGCTAAAGAGAAAAACCTACAATAATAATATCTTATAAGGCAGCATTTATTTTTATCTAGAAGCCAAATGGGAAACATACAAATATGAGTTTCTGATTATATTAGTATATTCCATATGATAATCTCACCTTGGTTTATTGTGGTTGACTATTTAGAAAAATATTATATTGAAAATGTTGGTGATTATAAACCATGCACAGGCCGGCCCTGTGGCTTGGTGGTTAAGTGCGCGCGCTGCGATGCTGGTGACCCGGGTTCGGATCCCGGGTGCGCATCGAGGCACCACTTCTCCGTCCATCCTGAGGCCGAGTCCCACATACAGCAACTAGAAAGAAGTGCAGCTATGACATACAACTATCTACTGGGGCTTTGGGGGGAAAAAAATAAAATAAATAAACCATGCACAACTGAAGGACTTTCTGAGTCCAAATCACAGGATTTTTATCAATTAGTCTTTTGTTATCTGAAATTTAAGATTCTTTAAAATTTGACATTATATCCCAATTTAGCAAGTTCAGCCAGTCTCCACAACAGAAACTTCTGTCCATCATCTGATGTCCAAATATCTATTCCTCAATAAATTTATTACCAGTGTGTGAAGCATGAAAGGCTGTTTGCTAAGGGATGATAGTTCAGTAATAATACAGAGATACAGAAAGGAGAAACCTAACAGTTACAGATTAGATTCCAAATGTGGACAGATTTCACATCTACCCTGGCTAATCAGTAGTTTCTGCATTTGGCTACTAATTAAACCTATTTCATCGTACATTAAATAACTCACTTTGAAGCCTACAAATCAGCAAGCAGTTGACAGACAGCAGTGGCCACCTGCACTGTGTGCTCAGGCTCGACCCAACACAATACAATCAGCACTTCCTGTTTTAGGTTTGATTGTTTTTGCAAATTTTTAAAAAAATCTCTTAATTGAAAGCTTGAAATGATAATTAATGTAAAAAGTAACCTTGGTATGTTCTAAATCTACAGAAGTTCCTAAGCATTTATACAAAATCATAAACATGGCACAAAATATATCCCTGGCTACCAAATATAACATGAAAAAACCCTGAAGCTAAAAACGTTACCTTTTGGGGCCAGCCCTGTGGCTTAGCGGTTAAGTGCACACACTCTGCTACTGGCGGCCTGGGTTCGGATCCTGGGTGCACACTGACGCACCGCTTGTCCGGCCATGCTGAGGCCGCGTCCCACATACCGCAACTAGAAGTATGTGCAACTACGACATACAACTATCTACTGGGGCTTTGGGGAGAAAAAGGGAAAAAAAAAAAGGAGGAGGATTGGCAATAGATGTTAGCTCACGGCTGGTCTTCCTCAGCAAAAAGAGGAGGATTGGCATGGATGTTAGCTCAGAGCTGATCTTCCTCACAAAAAAAGAAAAAAAAAAAGAATCCTAAAAACGTTACCTCTTAAACAATGCTGATACACTAACTGTAAATAATAAAGGTAACAGAAATGTGTTACACGCTTACTATGTGGCAGTTATTGTGCTAGGGGCTGAAAATATAACACCTTGTTTAAGCCTCACAATAATCATATGAGGCAGATGTAAGTGTCTTTATTTTACAGTAATTCTGTTCAGTACAAATACAATCAAGTAGATGTGGTGGAGACCACTAAATGCCCCAAGCAGCCACTTCTTCTTCCACTCAGTTCTGGGACTCCCACCTCACTTGTGATTCAGCTGAGCACCAGGCCACTCACTCAGAGACCCCATTTCCCCACCTCCCCTGCAGCCAAGCAGCCATGTGTCCGAGTGTGAACAACGGGCTGTGACTGGAAGTGATATGTGCAAATTTTAGGCTGCCTGATTTTGCAACAAGCTGATTGCCCTGGATTTCTTTTCTCACGAGTTGTAATGTGGATACGGCAGTGATCCAGCTTCCACCACACTGATGAAGACAAAACCTAGGGCAGGGTGGCACTTAATAACAACTGGTATGCTATAGAACTGCCCAGTCAGAACATACATCCAACCAATCAGAACAGACACAGTCTGGAAATAACCAGCAAAACTCTACTAGTGCACACTGGCTGACCATCCGTACTGCCCTACAGATGGTGAAGCCAACAGGTGCAAGGAACTGGATGCCTGAACGAACTGTCAGGGCAGAGCGGCCCTGCCTGTCTTGTGAGCAGGACTGTTACAGCAGCTTGGTCCTTTCCTTAAGTAGTAATACAAAGGAGAAGTAAAAACATTGTGAACTAAGGGCTCTCGAGTCACACATGGGTTTCAATGCCAGCCCCACCACCTACTTGCAATGTGACCCTGAGAACATTACTGCATCTCACCGAGTCTGTTTTCCCATTTGTAAAATGGGGATATTTCTACTTACCTTGCAGAGTGGTTTAGAGAAATGAAGTAACGTGCATGTCTGTATGTGCACACCTTGAGCGCATGCCTTGAGCCTAACTGTGGGACAGAGAAGTCAATTTGCCTAAGGGTTTTGGTAAAGAACAGGAACATGAGTGTATCTTGGGCAAAGACAGAAGAGTAACAAAGTGTAAGTTTGAGAAACTGGTCAGTCTGGTCTTGGGCACTTCTGAAGAAACTTTATCTACAGAAACAAGGGTTACAAGGAAAAGCTGTGTTAACTTAAAAATAAAGAGCCAAAATGAGGCAGAGAGGTGTTTATTTGGGGATCAAAGAATTGCAATTTGGGGAGCACGGATTCAGGTAGAAACCCAAACAGTGCCCTAATTACAGGAGAGGGGCTCAGGGCTTTTTTGGGAAAAAGGAAGAGGAGGTGGGTTGTGTTGAGCTCACTGGCGCTGGATGAGTAAGGCTAGGTTCGTATTTCATTGACTGGGTAGTGATCTGGTCATCAGCAAAGTCCAGTTTCATCAGTCCTTACAAACAGCATATTCTTATCCTTAGTGACTTCTTGGAATGCTGATGGTTTGGTCCAGTTTGGAAAATAAAGAAAAGAAGACATGCAAGGCAATTCCTCTGAAATGGCTGCTCTGGCTCTATTTTAATATGGCTCCACTCATGTCATCTTTCACAGCTGAAAAACCAGTTTTCTCAAGGGACTCAGACGATGGAAGCTCAAACAGAACTATTTTTGTAGTTAGGTAACAGAGTGACAGAAAGTACAAGAAGAGAATTCCCCTCATGTCTACAGAGTACAAGATAAGATGGGACACTGTGCTCCTCGGCACCCACAGGCTTTACAGCCTTGGAAACAAGTCCATGCATGGCAGCCTAGCAGGCGGTGGGAGGGAGGCACGTGCGAGCTGCTCCAAGGACTGACAACAAGAAAAAGGGGCCTATCAGATGACAAGGATTACAGAGAGCCCGAGGTGAGGCGAGCCCAGGAACCACTCCTGCGGATTCTGCCCATCAAACAGTAGATACTAAGCAAGAGTTACTGTATTAATGTTACTGTTACGTCTTGGCCATCAGCAGACTTCTAACCACTCCCTGACTAAGTGGGAAATAGCTGACAAACTTAAAGCAAAAACTCTCTTTTGGGAAATAAGAAAATCACCACCATAAAGCC